ACCACTGAGGGATTTAAAAGTACTGATAACATACATATTCCTCGAGTTGAGAAAATGTGCTTTGAAACACTCTTTATGCATTCTGTATGCAGTGATACACTAAAATGGTTATGCACTCTGGAATTAATACATCATACATTTAGAAAGGGACTGGCATCTAACAGTTGTCATTTTAATATTCACCAGACTCAGTTCACTGGCTACATTAGTTAACAAAATTAATTTAACACCTTATGAAATACAGATGCCTGGTTTTAGCAAGGCAATTTTACTTACTGTATAAGAGACTGACCTGATCCTGGGTGATGATTTGGCTGGCCACCTTGGGGCCCCCAGAAGTTGGTGGTTGTGCACAATCTAGACAGACCATGGATGTCTGTGCTCTTCTTGCTCTGCTCCCTCTGGCCCCGACATCACTAAACAGTGTGCAAAAGAGCAGAGCAAGAAGATTACAGGATCACAGCATCCACTGGTCTCCAGGAACATGATCTACACTGGACCCTATGGACAGATTTCACACTGGATCCCAGGGAAAGGATCTTCTACAGTTTTCCCAAGGGTAGGGAGGTTGGGTGGACTAAAATAAAATTTAAAAAAATATATAATTTGTGAGTGTGTGAGAGAACATGTATGTGTCTGTCAATTAGTGTGTATCTGTCGGTGAATGTATGTGTGTCTGTCAGTGTATTTGTATTTGTGTGTGTCTGTTTGTCAGTGAATGTGTGTCTGCCAGTGAATAGTTTCACTCAATTCATGTGATATGCAGTAATATGTATATATGTTTTGCATGTATGTCTATGTATATGCATGCATTATTAATAAATGAGTATTATATTAAAGTGTATATAAAATAAGTGTATATTAAAGATCATTAAATTCCATCTACATAAATGCTAGCACATGTATAGCTTTTAATTTAATTTAAAGCTCTTTCAAAATATGACCATACTAGTCAATTAAATCTTCAACATTAGACATGTGTGCCAGTGTCGCACAGGGTCTAATGCCATAGATTGAGTGACTGGTGGACCTCTTGCTGCCTGTCGTTGTGATACTCCCCAAGCAGGTGCTTGCTGGGTTAGTATGGGATGCACGAATGCAAGTGTGATGGCAGTGAAGCCAGTGTTTAGCATCAGCACGGGAGGATTACCATGCTTAGAGAAGTGTCCCTCAGCAAGGCTAATCATTCCACATTCACACAAAGCAAAACCCCATATACAATCACACTTAGCCAACCACACACATACACACACTCACACTCCACCAACTCCACACATACATATCACACTCAGCCAGCCAACACAATCAGACTCAACCATGTCCAACACAGAATCACACTCAGGTGTATCGCTTAGGGGGCAGCAAGGAGTGTGGTAAGGGGGAATTTACTTTGATTCTTACACCGGGCCCTCTGATTCCTAGTTACACCCCTGCAACCTTCCTTATCTGACAAAAAATGAGTCTCCCTCCAAGACTAGAAGTAATACATTCAAGTAACATCAGTTTTACGATATTAGAAGCTACATTTGACTATCATTATGAAGGTTACAGAAGAATATGCATGTAGGTAGGATAATATTTTGACAGCTTTATTAAGCTTTGAAAATGTTATTAATATTTTGTGGATTCCCTTACAAGCTCTTTTGAACTGCATTTCACATATCCAGAAAGACTTGCCAAAAAATTATTATTCCTAACTTGTCAGGCATTAAGAGAATATTTTACCGCAGTTAATGCCAGTGGGTGCATTTATCCTAGGGCCTAAATATCATAAATTTGTATTTCATTTACTATTATAGGAAACTTTATTAATTATTTGTGATAAATCATTTAAGAGAGCAATGTGAAAATGTATATGCTTTATTGTGTAATCAGGAACAGTATACTTTAGTGAGAGTTCCATTGGAATGTAAGACATGGAAAGCTAAATGATAACTTTTAGGTGTAGTCAAGAATTGGAACTGATAACTTGTAAGCTGTTGAATTGATACACAACTGCACAACCACAAACAGCTATAACATCAGTCAAAGCACAGAATGAGGAGCTGGATAGAGGAACCCAAAGGCTGTGACAAATACTGCTATTGATAAGCAAGCTCTTGTGGGTGGAATGTAAATATTAATTGATGTTAAAAATTTTTATGCCACCCACAGGAGCTCTACATGTTTGCTAGCTTGAACAAACTACTTTGCAATAATTATTTTATTTACACGACTATTATTATTATTACTGGCATGAGATGGGTAAAATAATAACAGCCTGTGATAATATTCCCATATATCTGGCAAAATTTCCCATACGACTAACATAGTCCAGGTAAATAAATTATTTAATGGATGGGCAAAACTGCTTGGAGAAAGTCTTATGTTTGCCCATTTTTAGTTATGAGCTATGTGAAGGCATTATGTGTAGGTTCCAACTACTAAAGTAAACACACTGTGCTGTAAGACCAGTTAGACAATTAAACTTTATTTCATGGAAGCTATGTGAGTTTCATCCATGGGAGGTGTAGCTAAGGCAACATAAACAAAGTGATTTAACTCCTAAATTGCAGAAAATTGAGCAGTGAGACTGCACATGGATAATATTGCACCCAAACCACTTATGTCAAATTTGTTTTGGTGTTTATTCCTTAAGCATGAAGGACCAATAATTTCACGTTATTATAACAAATCTTTATATTGCAGCAGAAATCATGGTTTTCCAATCAGCTGATGTTTCCCAGCTGTCCAGTTTTGGTGTTTCTGAGCCTGATGAATCCTCAGTTTTTTCTAGCCACTGTTCTGGAACCCATCCACTTGAAGGTATAAAATGTGCATTCAGAGATGATCTTCTGCATAATAGTTTTATAAAATTAGTTTTTATCAGTTACCTAAGCCAGTCTCACTGTTATCCTCTGACCTCTCTAATTAACAAGAGGTTTTTACCTACAGAACTGCAGCTCACTGGATGTCTTTGTCATGCACCAGTCTGTTAATAGTATAAAGTAATTGTGCATGAAAATCCACAGGGAATGTGAGTTTCTGAGATATTCAAATTAACACATTGAGGACTAACAATCAGCAGGTATTTTGACTTTTTTTTTTTTTAGCTATTTTTTGTGTCACGTACTAATGTGACAAATAATTGTACTTCTACTTCTGCATTAATATTTAAGATAATGTCTGCAATATTGTAAAGTATGGGATACTATAATCTTTAAAATCAGTTACCCTATCTTTGTTTCAAAAAGAGAATAAAAGAAAAATGTAACATTTCTGTACAATTATATAATTTAAAATTTTCAGGTATCCCGTAACAACATTCTGTCCAAATGATTAAAATGTGTAATAGTTAAGCATCTCAAAACGACCTTACACAATGTTTGTAGAAGAAAAGTACAAAAACTATTCTGTAGTGAATAGATTAAAGATCTCATCATCCCCTTATCATTTGACTCCTATCATTGCAACATACAATATATATATTATTTTAGGAGATAAATACACATATGTTGAACTAAGAAACAATCCAACCATTGAATTCAATAAGAAATTGGAAAATCTGTAAAGAAAAGAAAAAAAAAGGTATTATCACAGGGCTTAATCTCACAATTTTTAAAAATCAATTTTTATATAATTTAAATCCAGTTATCCCAATTTATTTTTAGCCTTCTAGCTTTTATAGACTCTCATCTTCGAAAATATGCACAAAAAGCCACATCATATATTAAAGACACTAAAGCCATTTTGCAAGAGTTGGCCAACAGTTGGTACAGCTGGGCCATCTTAGACATTTATTCTTTGTGCATTGAACCAGTTGCTTATTATTTACACATGGATAACAGTATTTCCAAAGCACAGGGTGATTTTATTTTGAATTTAATTGCTTTTATCTTAGAACATAATTATTTTATGTTTGACAGTACATTTTATTTGCAGACCACAAGGATCGCTATGGGGACCAGATTTGCCCCCAGTTATGCTAACATTTACATGAAAAGATGGGAAAGGTTGGCTGTGTGGTCTTGGCATAGCTGGGTAAGAAGCTGGTCCTATGGTGGAGATTTATTGATGATGTGCTTATAATTTGGCAAAGATCGGAAGAGTCTTTTTCCAATCTTGTGCTGTACTTGAATAATAATCAGTACAATTTGTAATTTACATCTGAATGGCATAGAGAAAAAAAAGACTCTTTCAGACAATTTTTTTTTACAAAAAACAGACGCTTTGGGCACAGACGGAGTTGTCACTGTGACCTTTGGCTCTGAGGAATTGGTAAGAACCAGTTTACAAGGGTTAAACGTAATTGAACAACATTGAAAGATTTCAAACAACAGGTATCAATTGTAAAAAATAAATTAATTTCAAAAGGTTATGGTAAGAACCATCTCGATAAAGATATAAAAAAATAGTTCTAACTATGGTGAAATAATTGCTTGAATTCTACTATTGTAGGTGATGAATACATAAGTAAGCTTTATGTTTAGCTTTAATAACTGTATAAAAACATATGCTTTGGATAAAGGTCAAAACATTTCTATTAAATTTGCCTGTTGATAGATACATAGTATTGCTTTTTTCTGATTTCGGAGCCTTGCAGGCTTCCATCTTCTCATTTTTGGTTAAGTGGCATTCTGGGAAGTTACTATGGTGACCGCTTACAAACCGAATGTGGAATGCAAGATGGCCGCCATTTGTAATGCACTCATCAAAATACAACCACCAAAAATTGACAGTGTGTAACATTGCGAACCCTGGTAAATCAATCTATGAGGATCTGGAACAGCTGAGCATCGCTGGAAACACCTAGTGAACCACCAATAGGATCAAAGACTGGCAATATAAAGGGAAGCACTCTGGGCGGTGGGGTTTATGCTGCCTTCTCCTGTTATAGGATTGCTTTTGTTGCTGTTTTTTTATTGTTTCTTTAATTTTTATATTACTTGGGTCCCGGAGAAAGTCCCACCAAGTAAATTTTATGTATTTGTTTTATAAAATAAAATTTGATAATATCTTGAGTCCTGCCTTCCATATTGGTGTGATAAATCCAGAAGAGTCCCAGATCAGTCCACCATCATTCCAAGGGGAGGCACCCTAAGGCGATTATATAAGTTTCCCTTCTGTGGTGTGTAACTACGTTCAGCGCACATAGCTGCACTTTATACTGAATTACACTATTGCAGTTGCTATTTTTGTAGATCTTCAGCTGCATCCTCTGTATTTGTTTGGCTATCCTTGACAGAGTATCTGATCAATGTTTTGACCCCCTCAGGGTCCTTCTCAAGATCACAGTAGCAAAGTAACAACAACCTTTATGTAGAATAAAGTGAACAAACAAATACAATGACTTACCAATCATATGAATGCCACTGCCTCTGCTCATGCAATCCCTAAGGCTCTGCTTATTTAAATCCATAATCCTAAGAATCCTGGTGGCAGCTGACATGTGAGCATGTGGAGGACGGAGGGGTCGACACGTCAATCACATAATATGTCAATTTGATAATATAATACAGTATATATTTTTTCATAATAAATTGTTTTTGTTTTGTTCCCCTTTAAGGTCCTGTGAGTGCATCTGGATTATTTTAAAGCTTATATAGTAGATTGGATTAGCCGTATTAGTCCAGTAGACAAAATGCCAAAATACCAGAGTATTGCAGTATGCAATGATACCTTTTTTATTGGAATTATAAGTATTGCTTCAGACCTGAAGAAGAGAGGAAAACTCTTGAAAGCTTGTCTTTGAAATATTATGTTAGTCCAATAAAAAAGGTATTATTGCATACTATAATACTCTGGTATTTTGGCATTATATATATATATATATATATGAGGAAACACTTAAGCAATCTCTTTAGATTACATTTAACTTGAATGCACAGTTCATCACACATATCATATATTTTTATATATATTTGAGAAGATATATATTTAAAAAATAAATAAATAAAAAATAATATATAATGGAAAATTTATTCATACTTACCGTAATTTTCTTTTCCTGGTCATATGCCATGGCAGCACAACATTGGGTAGCTCCTCCCTATCCCCATTGGACAGGAATAATTATTAAGCCGTATAAGTACCACCTCCTACCCCTCCTTCCCCAGTCATGTTTTCCAGCAATAGCCCCGGGTGGGACCCTTGTGCTGCCATGGCATATGACCAGGAAAAGAAAATTACGGTAAGTATGAATAAATTTTCCATTTTCCTGGCCATATTCATGGCAGCACAACATTGGGTAATACCCAAGCAATAAACCAGGGAGGGAAAGAGACACAGACTCCAAAAATTTTGAATGCAAAGTGTATTAACACCACAACAGGTGAAAAATAGAAATCAGGTATCGGATACAGACAGAACTGATTTAGCAAATTGATCAGATATACCTGCTCTAACATCAATTTGGTAGCTCTTAATGAAAGTGTTAGAGGAAGACCATGTAGCTGCTTTACAAATGAGTTCAGGAGAAACATTAGCAGCAGCTGCCCAGGAAGATGAGAGAGCCCTCGTGGAATGGGCTTTAAGACCCACAGGGACCGGATATCCAGCAGATTGATAAGCCAGAATAATAGCTGCTACTATCCACCTGCTAATGGTAGATTTGGGAGCTTGTGAGCCCTTTTTACAGCCGCCATGAAGGACGAAAAGACTGTGAGAAGTACGCCAAGCAGAAGTCCTATTAATATATATCTGGAGGCATCTTACTAGATCCAGAGAAGATAGGTTAGTAGAATTCTCCATTTCTAGGGAGTCAGACCTCAGAGATGGAAGAACAATATCCTCGTTGATGTGAAAGGAGGAGGTGACTTTAGGTCGAAATTCGGGAACCGTACGGAGGACAACTCTGTCTTTGTGAAAGACCGTAAAAGGCTCCTTAATGGATAGAGCGTGGAGCTCTGAAACCCTCCTGCCGGAAGCTAGGGCAATCAGCAAAGCAGTCTTAATAGAGAGAGCATGAAGAGGAACTGTCTCAAATGGTTCAAAAGGTTCCAACTTTAAGGCATTCAAGACCAAAGGGAGATTCCAAGATGGAACAAATGGTTTAATAGGAGGTTTTATCTGAAGGACTCCTTTGATGAATCTGATGACATCCGCGTCCAGTGCCCATCGATGATTGGTTAGAGCGGACAAGGCTGAGACGTGCACCTTGAGAGTGTTATAGCTCAGCCCTTTAGCAAGCCCAGACTGCAGAAACTCCAAAATATTAGAGGAGGAAGGATCTTGAATATTAATGTTCCTGTGAAGGGCCCAGTCAGAGAAAACTTCCCACACTCTATAATAAGTGGCCGAAGTGGAATGCTTACGTGCCTTCAGCATAGTGCCTATAACGTCCTGGGAGAATCCTTTACTCAAAAGCCGGTTCCTTTCAGTCTCCAAGCCATGAGATTGAGAGAGACCGGATTTGGATGAAACACAGGACCTTGGAACAGAAGATCCGGAGTTCTGGGGAGTGGGAGAGGAGGTTCCACCAAAAGACTTTGAAGCAGAGGAAACCAGGGTCTTCGAGGCCAATAAGGCGCAATCAGGATGAGAGACACCTGCTCTGTTCTCATCTTCCTCAGGAGCGGGAGAATTAGTGGAAATGGGGGAAAAGCATAGCCCATCCTGAACCTCCAGGGGCTTGATAAAGCATCCCTCCCCAGTGCTAGGTGGTTCTTTCGTGAAGAAAAGCTTTACTTTCCTGTTGGCCCGAGTGGCTAGAAGGTCTACTTGAGGGAGGCCCCATTTGTCCACAATCAAGCGGAATACTCTGTCCGAGAGGCACCATTCCCCCGGATCTATCCTGGATCTGCTGAGAAAATCCGCCAGATGATTCCGTTTCCCTGGTAGATGGATGGCAGTAAGGCCCGCCAGGTTTCTCTGAGTCCACCACATCAGGTGATTCATGATTTCCATCATCTTGCAGCTCCTGGTACCCCCTTGGTGATTGACATAGGATACCACAGTGGAGTTGTCCGTCCTTATCTTCACCCATTGCCCCTTGAGATGATTCGAGAAGTGTTTCAATGCTTTGAGGACAGCCAGAAGCTCTAGGCAATTGGAATGAACATTGTTTGCCCTGAAACTCCATTCTTCCTGCGCAAAGTCGTGGAGACAATGAGCGCCCCATCCCCATTGGCTGGCATCCGTTGTCACAGTTATCCACGCGATATCTCCTAGTGGAAAACCCTTTGATAGGTGCTCCCTGTTTAGCCACCAGATTAGAGAATGGCGTACATTCAGGGAAAGTTTGATGGGTTGGTGCAGGTTCCCGGAGGAGAACTGTCTCAGGAAATTGGCTTGGAATGGTCTCATTCTCCACTGTGCCCATCTGGTCAGTCCTATTGTGGAGGACATGGAACCCAGGAGGCTCATTATGGCCTTTGCCAGGGCCACCCTGGATATCAGCATTCTTCTCAATAACATCTTGAGTTTCTGTATTCTTGCTGATGAAAGTTGGACAGTGCCCTTTAGAGTGTCGAAGTGAGCTCCTAAGTAAACCATAGATTGCGTTGGGTGGAGGTGGCTCTTCTTGGTGTTGATCTTCCAGCCGTGAGCTTGCAGAAACTGAATGCTGGTAATAGCATGGGATGTCAGAGAATCTACGTTGTTTCCTAAGATCAAGATGTCGTCCAAATAATGGTAAATCGCAATGTTCTGTTTTCTGAGTTCTGCAATGAGGACAATCAGGACCTTTGTAAATGTCCTCGGAGCTGTGCTCAGTCCAAAGGGGAGGGCCCTGAACTGGAAGTGACCTTCTTCCACAGCAAACCTCAGAAACTTTTGATGAGTTTGGGCGATGGGTATGTGAAAATACGCATCTAACAGATCTATGGACAGCATCCATTGGTTGGGAGACACTACTTTTATTATAGATTGTAAGGATTCCATTTTGAACCTGCGAATGTGCAGATGCTTGTTTAGCCTGTGTAGATCCAGAATGGGTCTCCATCCCCCTGAGGATTTCTTCGTTAGGAAGATGTGGGAGTAAAACCCTTGAGTTCTCTCACCGGCTGGCACTTTGGTGATAACCTTCTCCTTCTGCAAGGAAAGGATGAAGTCTTGTAGGGCCATGCACTTTTCCTTGTCCCCTGGCCACTTTGTGAGGTGAAAGGACCTGCTTGGAGGATGCTCGAGAAATTCTATCAAGTAACCTCTCCGAATGATATCCAGTACCCAACTGTCGCTTGTGGATGCTTCCCATATCGGTAGATATTGGAGAAGACAAGCCCCGACACCTTCGGATTTGGGAATTATATAGTCATAGATTCCTCTGGTTTTTATAGGAAGATGAACCGCGTGACTTGCCTCCTTTGTTTCCAGATGGGGCTCCTCTCCCAGGTTGAAATCTGGAATATTCTCTGCCCGGCTTGTAGGACCTACTGTCACGAAAGGAATGATACTCTTTCCGGGCACGAAAGGATCCTTTATATTTTCTCTCCTGAGGTAAAAAGGCTTTATTCCCTTCAGCCGCCCTCTTAATGCAGTCGTCCAAATTCTTGCCAAATAACATACTCCCGTGAAATGGCAAAGAACACAAACTATTCTTGGAGGAAGCATCGGCTGCCCAAGATCTGAGCCAAAGTGCTCGCCTAGAGGAAATCGAGAAGGACATATTTCTAGCAAGGCTCCTTACCAGATCCACTGCAGCTTCTGATGAAAAATCAATTGCTAGACGCATATCTCTTAGGTCCTCCACAATGGAAGATCGGCTTCTGCCACTCCTGATGTCCCCTTCCAGTTCCTGTATCCAAACCTTCATAGCTCTTGTAACTGACGTGAGAGCAACGGCAGGGTGGAGACTCGTGCCTGAGGCTACATAGGATTTGGAAAGGTAGTATTCCATCTTACGATCCATAGGATCCCTGAAGGAACCTGCATCGTCTACAGGAAGGGTAGTGTGCTTGGCTAGTCTGACCACTGCAGCATCAACTTTAGGTGGAAAATCCCATGTTTCAGCATCTTTGGAATGAAACGGATATAATCTGGAGAACTTCCCTTTTGCAGATGATCTCCGGTCAGACCTGGACCATTCTTCTTTAATAAGGTCACTAATTGTGGCATGCACAGGGAAAGCCGCTCTTTTTCTTCTAAGATCAGAGAAATAGCGGTTAGATGTAGATGGTTCCTCCTCTGAGGGTTCCTTCAAGGTAAGGGTTTCTCTGACCCGGGCAATTAAATGATCCACCTCCGCAGGTACCAAGAAGTCAGGATCAGGGATAGCCTCCTCCTCCGAGGAAAAAGCTAGGTCTCTCAGAGAAGCTGAATCCATTAACTCTTCTTCAGAGTTTCCTGGAGATAAATCTGAGGGCTCAGAATATCTAGGTCGCTTGTGGGTCTTACCACCCTCTCTTATGCCCTGGGCAACTGCATGCTTGATAAGTTGCATAAAGTCCGGTGTTGAATGAGAAGGGCCAGCAGCTGCTGAGAGACAATCTGAACAGAGACGTTTCCCTTCTATGGCTCTGTTATCACAGGATATACACAGCGTCCTTTTGGGCGACTTCCCCTTGGACGATCCTGAAGTCTTTGTACTTTTAGCACTGAAATACAACAAACGTGCTCATTAGTACATTACCTCTCTTTTTTGCGCGCGAACGTGCTAATTCGTTAATCGCGTTCGCGCGCTTATTCAAACACAGCCGCGCGAACGCTCAGAAACAACCGAACGCCGCGCATGCGTCCGGGAGCCCGCGAATGCCGAGCAGGCGCCCATGAGACTCCCGAACGCCGCGCAGGCGCACAGAAATTTCCCGAACGCCACGCAGGTGCCCTGGAACTCCCGAACGCCGCGCAGGCGCATAGGAGCTCCCAAACGCCGCGCAGACACTGCAGCTTCTGAGGGGGAACCCCAGCACAGAGAGATTACAGTTTCAATTACCTCTGTATCTTCAGAAGAATAATCTTACAGGTAGGAACCAATTCATGGAGTCATTACCTTGATTCTGGGGGGGGGAAATTCCAAGTCCGGAAACCAGCCATATTCCATGTTATTCCACTTGCATTATTGCAAGAATTACAGGAAGGTAAAACCCCCGGTCACTAAAGGGGTTTTCTCCAGGGGGACACCTTTGCGCAGGGCCGTATACTGGAGACTTCCCAGGGGAGAGAGGGTGAACTCCCCAGGGGCTAGAGGAACTAATCCTCAGGTAAGCCATAAAGAAAATCTAATAGTCTGAAAAGACCGACATGTCCTAGGGATAGGACAGGAAAAAAAGACTGGGGAAGGAGGGGTAGGAGGTGGTACTTATACGGCTTAATAATTATTCCTGTCCAATGGGGATAGGGAGGAGCTACCCAATGTTGTGCTGCCATGGATATGGCCAGGAAATATATATAATATATATATATATATATATATATATACACACACAATACCAGTAGAGAGCACTCAGGAGTCTTTCAAGGTAAATTTCATCTGTTGCTTTATTGAGCAATTACAAATTCACACAACGTTCCAGTCGACGTAAAATACTTTTTTCAAGTCTTCAAGTTTTTTATATATAATTATTTTTCCTCTGTTTTATTCTTTTTCTAGAGCTTGACATATGGAGATGTATAGAACATGGCATGTGAAGATTTACAGTAATATTGAAAAAGACAAGATCAACTAATTTTAAACCAATTGCTTTGCCTGTATGTTCACTTGCTGACAGACAGTATTTTTCCCTCCAGGGGGCTTTCCCTTTAATGAACTAGCTAATTAATGTATTTGCTGCACAATGCCTTTACATAACTACATTGCTGTGCTAATTAAACAAACTTGGGAGTCATAGCTAATATTATCTGAAAGCTATGTTTACTGAGCAGTCCAGTACAAAAGTTGAGAAAAAAATATTCATAACAATAAAATAATGAAAAAACATACAAGGCAAAGTACTCAATGAAAATTTTTGTCTCACTAACTATGAGACAAAAATTGCAGCAGCGTTCGGGAGCAGACGTCATTACTCATAGCTCCGAGGCCCAAACCTTAAAAACAAGCATATCTACTGAGAAAACCATGATAACCCGCAGCAAAAACACTACCTGCAAGCTGGGGAACCAGCGCGAAACCAATGGATGCCATTCCAGTTCACAGGGGGCACAAAACCATAGCACCAAGGACTTCAGGCCTATCATGTGGAAATCAAACAGCAGTCTGATACTGACTCCTGGCTAAGTGACGGCACTGGCGCATTCTCACCTGCCGCAAATGGCTATCAGGCTTAGCTAGATGCAATAATGAGACGCAAGTCACAGAGATTGACTCCGGCTCCAATTGTCATAGACCAGATGTTGGTTTCCACCTCCATGGCCCGAGGGAACACACCTCCGCAGCCTGAGATCCTCCTACAGAGGAAGCAACTAAAGCAATAGCCACAGCTTGACCCATAGCAGAAACACATGTAATGAAGCAGGACATACACAACCTTTTGAAACACTTCCAAGTTATGTTCTCAGCTGAACTGAATACGGTAAAAACGGAGGTGCAAGCTGTGACAGACAGACTCCAGGCTGCCGAAGAAGACATCATAGATATGAAGCAGGATATGACCACACAATTAGAAACCATGCAACACTTGAAAAAAATTACAATCTCAGCTTGCTGTTAGAATGGATGTCATGGAAGACAAGGGGCGACAGAGAAATATCAAAATCCACAGAGTAGCGGACTCTGTTCCAATGGATGAACTACCTCACTTTCTCAGGAGGCTACTATTTTCTGTCTTACCAGCAAAAATCTCCAAACAGTTCGCATATGACGGCCTATACCAATGATGGTGAACCTTTTTGAGACTGAGTGCTCAAACCGCAATACATGCCAACTTTTTTTCCCTCAAAGTGCCAATATGAATACTGAGGTTTAAGTTTAGAAAAAAACTACTCGTACAGTTGTCCGAACTAATTAACAACTTTTGTTTTAAAAGAAGAACACAACAGAGAGTTCAATGATGCAAATGTTAAATTATGATATAAATAGATAAAATTAAGCTTATATTTATTAGTATCTCCAACAAATGCAATACATACACACAGACTGCTGAACACATTCACACACCGGCTGCTAAATACATACACACACCGGCCGCTAAATACATACACACACCGTTCGCTAAATACATACACACACTGTCCGCTAAATACACACACACACCGTCCACTAAATACACACACAGTCTGCTAAATACACACACAGACAGATTGCTGAATACACATACAGACAGACTGCTGAATACACACAGACTGCTAAATACATACACTGCTGAATACACACACTGCTGAGTACACACAGTCTGCTGAATACATACACACACAGACTGCTGAATACACACACACACACACACACACACATATTGCTGAATGCATTCACTGCTGAATACACACACACAGTCTGCTGAATACATACACTGCTTAGTACACACACACAGACTGCTGAGTACACACACTCACAGACTGCTGAGTACATACACACAATCTACTGAATACATACACACGCACACACACAGACTGCTGAATACACACAGACTGCTGAGTACACACACACAGAGACTGCTGAATATACACATACACAGACTGCTGAATACACACACACACAGACTGCTGAGTACACACAGTCTGCTGAATACATACACACACACAGACTGCTGAATACACACATACATACTGCATTGAGGGGTGCAGTGTATGTGTTTGTGTGTAAGTGTGTGGAGTGCTGTGTGTGTGTCTGAGGGGTGCTGTGTGTTGGGGGTACTGTGCGTGGGGGTGCTGTGTATGTGGTGGGTAGGTGTGCTGTGTGTGTACGGGTAGGGGTGATTTGCTGTGTGGCGTAGGGGTGATGTGCTGTGTGGGGGTAGGGGTTAGGAGTGCTGTGCTGTGTGGGGGTAGGGGTTAGGGGTGCTGTGCTGTGCTGTGCGGGGTAAGGGTTGCTGTGGGGTGGTAGGGGTGCTGTGTAGGGGGGGTAGGGGTGCTGTGCTGTGTGGGGTAGGGGTAAAGATACATTTAAAAAAAAAATTATATTAATTCTGTATCCCCCCTCCCTTCCTCTTACCTTTGGTGAAGGAGGGGGGGACACAATAAGATTCCTAATTTAACATCAGGTAAGGAAGCATAACCATGCATCTGTAAGAAGAAGAAGAAGGTTGATGTAGTCAAAGTACGAATTCCTCTGAAATACAATCAAAAGAAATAGTGAAGTCTTGTTAGTATAGATAACAATAATGATGAGCATTAGTGAGATTGGATTATTACATGATCTGTTTTTATGCCAGTTTATCCCAGATTGACAGGGAAATACCTGCATGGACACAATATTTAGCATCACCCTGTCTGACCTAGGTAACCATACAAATATATACAGTATTAATAAAATATCAGAGGTTTAGATTTATTCGTACGAGTGTTCCTTATCATGAAAAAAAATACTTTTTGAGCATATTTTAATATGTTTTACTATCAAATTATACCAGTAATAGTTGTTTGGTTTAAAATGTTTATTTTTATATCCTCCTCCAGTCTTTTGCCTTCACTCTGAAGAAAAAAACACGTACTGCATGTCTGCTGTCTGTGAAATATTGAGTAAACACCACAGTTCACAATAAAGCGATAACAGACCAATATAAAATCCAACCTCAATGTTTATGACCTTGAACTTTAACTTTACAAAGTCAGGTATATGAAAATTAAAATATTTTTAAACATATCAAGATTACATTTTTCATGACAGTTCTCCTCTAAGGCCAGTCACATAATCCTGGCAGTAATATGATATGACTACAATTCATGGCTCAGACATTTTAAAAATGCAGATTTCTGAGGTAGAAAATATAAAAGGCTGCATTTTGCAAACATAGATCATTTGTAGACTATACATGAAGCCACAATTTATACCACTTCCAAGAAATCTCTTCTTGGAAATCATGATTAAACACTGGCATAAGTACCATCATTGAAACTCATTGTCTGTCAACAGGGTAACCAACAAATCTCGAGTCCAAATAAATGTGGCACTCTACTGAGCTCAATGTTTTGATATTATCACCAAGTAACTGGTGGGAGCTAACAATGATATCAACAGTCGCTACATATGTTAAATGAACAAGAGCAGGAAATAGATTGATAAGATGAACTCCACTTGGGTTGAGAAAGTCTGTTGAACACGGATTGGGTAGGCTAATATTGGTGAACATAGAATGGCAGCTAATGTGGAGATGTTTTACTAAAATAAAGGAGATAGAGGCAAGGGAAACGGCATGATGGAGGTAGATAGTGAATACTGAAATTAAAGAAGTGTGAGTTGGGAATAACAAGAAATTTAGGTAGTTAAAGGCTGACTGATATAGTATTGGGAAATAGATTGAAAACTGAGTTGGAGGGAGTTAGAAAAGAGAGAAAAGGAGGGTAAGCTGATATTTGGGTAAAATTGCTTTAATCAGGAGAGCTGATGTAGAAAGTGTGAGATAATAGTGATACAGAAAATTTGAGAGGATAAGAACTGGGGAGTAGAGTTAGTATGGAGAATGTGATATGATAAGGGGTTAGGATAAGAGCGGAATATACAAAGTGTGATATAAGTAAGGAGGAGAGCTGATATAAAGAGTGTGAGAACATATGAGTGTGGAAGAGAGCTGCTTTTGAAGGAAGAGGAGACTAAATATATGTGGATAAGGAAATGGTTTAGAGGAACAGAATAAAGAAAAACAAAAAGGAGAATATGTAAATTTAAATCAGAAGAGTGCTCAAAAAAAGGACAAAGGTGCATTGGAGTAAAATAGAGAATTGATTCGGAGCACATTTGGATCTATTACTTCCAGACAAATACTGGTACTCAGGCTCAATAATGTTGAGCATGAGTCAGGAGCAAATTGAGTCAGGAGCCACCACACTGACTCGATCCTAGTTACTATTCAGCTTGCTTATTGTATTCAGCTCTCTTATTGTAATGTGTGTCTAGAAGAGCAGAGAGGAACGTAAATCTGTTCATCATATTAAAATAAAAAGACTCAGCGTGAAGGCTGATTTTGCATAACAGGAAAAGATTTAAAATTCAGTAGGCTATTAAAATAAATACATTTTTATTTTATAATTTAAATGCAGGAGGCACTTACCACCTGCCAGGTGGCCTTTGGAGAAAACCGCTTAGTAAATACGCCACTAAGCGTTTAATTTACATGTTCATTCAGCATGTAGATTAACAATAGCCCTTTGTTTTTCATGGTTGGATTAAAATTAATTACATTTATAAGCCATTTATTACAGGTTCTCTCTATTTGGTCAATTAGAATGCATAATTATTACACGTATTGTGTTGCTGTATTATCTTTTATGTTTGAATGCACCTTGCTTGAACTTGACATTTGGAAATACGACCTCCTTGCTATTAGCACTCGCTATTACTAACTCAGTCTACCAATTATTTTTCCTTTTTTGTGATAGTAGTGTTCAATAAATTGTGCTCCTGTTGAGACATATAAAACAATCAAACTGCAGAATTGTAATAAATTATTTACATGGAATAAATCAGTGTTTCTGACTTATTCGTCTACGAGACATAAAATGCCTCTAGCAAATTCTTCATTAGCGGTGAACTACAGTATATTACCTAAAAAGGTGTAGCAAATCTTTAGCACTAAGAATATTACTATGAGTGCCCATTAAAAACATTAGCAGACCTGTAGTGCAGAATTATATCTAAGGCTTACTTTGAGACAAGACACAAGCCATTGGTTCTTAAAGAGGACTCATGTCCGACATTTGAAAATGTAATTCGCTAATAAATCCATTTGAAGTCAAATACATTCTAATACAATCATTTGAAAATGTCAAATACATTTGAATGTGATTTTAAATGAAGACAATGACGGGTTTTATGTTTTTTTGAGAAATGGTATTGATGTGGAATGAAAGGTAAAGAATCACTAAATGCTGTCTGTTGTGTGATATTTATTTCATTATGATGTCTACTTATCTCAAGAAATGCAACTGGCAAAGAGTACAGGTTGACCTTGTAGTCCATTCCATTTTCCGAGCAGTCTCGAGATACATACACCCTTGCATTAGAAATACATCTTATCTGTATGCCACCACTGTCAAAGTAATACCCAAGTTGTAAAATAAATTAATATCTATTGTTGCCCATGTCTAAGTGTCCAATAATATGTGAGAAATCTAAGCCTTCCTCCACTCCTTCCATCTTGCTCGGTAGGGTGGTAGTCAGTCAGATACACTTAATTATGAGTTTGTA